GATTTTGTCAATCCCGATAGTCTTTTTAAAATTATTATTAAAATTATTTTATTATTTATTATTTATTCATTTTAGCCAAACATTGAATTAAAAAAGGGCAAGGGAGGGAAGAAAACAAGGCAGAACATAACTGCAAAACCGATTACAATTTGTAGTCTTTTCTTATATCCAGGAATATTCAGATATAACTAGCAAATATTTAATTCACAATTACAGAGAAAAACAAGCTAATTCTTAGAATGCAAGTTAAGCACATTAGCTAAGCATGGATATTTATTAATCTTCCTGCAAAAGAACTTCAGCAAACATGGAGGAAATATGTTTTTCAGCTCCAAACAATGATGAAATTATTGACTTCAGTGCAATAATTTCAAAACATGTTCTGGCTGGAAACCTGATGAAATATTGAAGATAATTCTGTAAAGCAATAATTCTTGCTGCATTAAACCTATTTTCTTGTTGTTGGATTTCCTTTGTATAATATGGGGGTGGGGGGAGGAAACATGAGAATTGTTATTTCCCCATTCTATCACTCAATCATTCAAATGGATTGGGCCAGTTATAAAATGTTATTACTTCATGTCTAATCTGATGAATTTCACTTATTAATTATACAGAAAGGAAAACTTGAAATACAGCGAATTCTCTCATACTAGACAGATCATTTTCTGGCAACGCCAATACTGTCATGTATTAAAACTTCCATGAAGAGAATTGTCAGGCCTTTCTCATCATGTTTTGGAATTCCAGTCATACCTTAGTTTCCCAGCAAGAGTGATCTAAGAAATTATTTCTCCTGAAGGAACTTATCAGTCTTTAGTAAAATTAGTAATTACAAATATTTCCACAGACTTTCTACAGTCTTCTAACTGTATTCTATTCTCAATCATGTGCAACTTGGTGCTAATATCTTACCTTTAATAACTTCTAGACTGAAAAAGGATGAGTTATCCCATTTTTCTCAATAGTTACTGAAATTTTCATTTTAATGACCATAGTAAAACTTTCTTGGTTGCTATTCCAGACAAATTAAGAACAGGCCCTATCTAAGTGCCAAAACAGATAATCATGTTTATTATTTTAATAGTAGCAGTTACAGGGGCAGTTAAGCTATTATAAGAAAATTAACTAATGTAGGTGGTACTAGAAAATGTAATGATTATCCAGCTACGATGCCATCTTCTACAGAAGTCAAGATTTACATTTTAGAAGGTCTTCCTACTTTCATTTCTTCACACTGAATAACAGTTTATTGAATTTAAGCATTTGTTATTTGGGTTGTTTGGTTCTGATGTTATTGCTGCTTTTGAAGTTCAAGGTCTGTTAGGAGTTCCTAAAAAATCAATTAAAGTTCCTAAATGAGTTACCAATTTACATAAGATGAAGGTATTATTAAATTGTTACCACTTGCATGCACCTTTGAATTCAAATACTGTTTTTGTTAACTCAGTGGAAGTTGCTTTAATGAGTATGAAATTAATATCTTTATTTGTGAAATAAAGGATTTTAACCTTTGCTATCTTGTAAACGTATTTCTAGTTTCAAATAGAAAAATAGTCTGAAATGTTTGTGTCTTTTATAACTCTATCGTAGTTTAGCACACGTTCACTATTACTTCTACCATAAGCGCCATTTATTTACCTGTTTAATAGTAAATAGTTATGCTTCAATTAAAATTGCAGTGACTGAATTTTTTTTCCCCAA